AAAAAGAATTAAAAAAAGAATTAAAAAAAGAATTAAAACAAAAAAAATTAAAACAAAAAGGACTAAAAAAAATAATTAAAAAAAAAAAACGCCAAACTCCTCAGGCGCGTCACGATTCGAACGCCCGACCTAGGGCATCGCCACAGCACTCTCGAAATGTGAAAAAGACAATAATGTGGCGGGTGCATCTGCCCATGTTGTAGCGGGACTTTCATTCTCATTTTGCACATTTTGAAGAGAAGTGCAGTGAGGCCCGTAGCATAAAAAAAAAAGCAAAACCAAAACGAAACAGGACTCGCCCGAGAGAAAAACAAACACAAAACGCGCCTAACGCGTCTGACGCGTTTGGCGTTTGTTTTTTTCTCGGGAGTCCGGTTTCGTTTCGTTTTTGCGTTCTCTTTTATGCTACGGGCCTCACTGCACTTCTCTTGAAATACGGACAGATACACGGCCATGATTTTTGTTTTTTGTGGATGTCGAGAGTACAGAATACGGACAGTGTATCTGTCCGTATTTCAAGAGAAGTGCAGTGAGGCCCGTAGCATAAAAGAGAACGCAAAAACGAAACGAAACCGGACTCCCGAGAAAAAAACAAATGCCAAATGCGTCAGGCGCGTCAGAATTTCACATCGGACGTCTCACGATTCGCGACTTAGTCACTCGCGCGTCAGAATTTTTACATCGGACGTCTCCACGGAAAAACACTAACGTGGACCATCGCAGACGAGAGAGTCGCCTCCGCGGCCGAAAAGTTTTAGGGGAATGGTAGGATGAGCGAAGAAAAGAAAAATGAAAGGGCGGACAGGAAAAGAGACAGACAAAAACTAGAATGACACAAAACAGTGTCCTCTTATTCTTTGTTTCACTGTATGCTTATTTCTTTCAGTGTTTTACAAAAAAAAATACACTGAACAAAGGATAAAAAATTAAAATAAAAAACAGAGATACATTGACATCATTCCGTTTCTCAGTCTTCTTAACGCCTCCTCCACCGTGCCTCTAACGTACAAGGCTACGTTGATGAAGTTGAGCGCGAGCTGCCCCCATCCCCGTATGCCATAACAGCCCACTTGCACGCTATGGGAAAGAGGCAGAGTGACGGAAGAGGTGTTAAACACAAGGAAGAGAGGAGCAGAAAAGGAAAACCGGTAGGCAGAGGGATTAAAAAAAAAAAAAAAAAAAAAAGGGTGACACAAACATCTTCTTTCTTTTACTGCATTCTTCTTTCTTTCACAGTTTTGCAGTTCTGGTGAAGAGTCTACCACGTTCGCTTTTCAGCGCACCTGCACTTCCTTCTTCACTTTTTCATTCCCATTTTCATTTCACCCTTCTGACTTTTTCTTTGAGGGTGTTAGCGGGCGCAGGGAACAAACAAAGTAAAATGACACAAACTTTTTTTTTTTTTTTTTTTTAAATATGCCAATATGGACCATTTCTCGATTTATGCATGTCATCCTTGAAAGCGCAGGGGCCACGCTAATCTTCTCTGTATCGTTCCAATTTTAACGGATGTCCCGAAGGACAAAAATGACACAAACTTGTGTTCTTCTTTTACAGCATTCTTCTTTCACTGTTTTGCGGTTTTAGTGAAGGGTTTCCCACCTTTGCACATTCTTGTACACTCTTTTCAGCGCACCTGCACATTTTTGTCCGCCTGAGGGTGCAAGGTACGTCTAAGTAAGACCTTCAAGACAGATAGGACAACTGTCATAAGGATGCGAGCGATGGTAGCAGCCCTCCCGCTGATCTACAGGACGAAAATCATTCAGGTAAGCAACTTCGTCACAGCAGGAGCCAGGGCGGCTAGCATCAACCATACCTCTGAAGCATGCACGGCAGAGGGCATGCCGGTTGCAGGCCATGACGATTGTGGGGCGTTCACCATCACAGTTAAGTGCACATTCGCTATAGACGCCCGCAGTCACAGATGGGACATACTGCATCTGGATGTAAAGGATGTTCACATTCCGGATACAGGTGGCATCCCTGCCGACAGCGGGCCCGAAAAATTATACGGTTGTACTGATGTCGACAAAGTTGATGCTTTCCACAACTAAGTGTAACTGTGTCAGTGATCTCACAAAGAAGGAGGTCACAAGGTGTTAGTGCAGCATGTGGGGGAATGAAGACTAAAGCAGGTACGGTGACAGACATGGAGGTAGGCACGGAGACAGACACACACACACATATATATATATATATATATATATATATATCGTCACAAACAGAACTGCCCGGTAAACCGTAGGCAGAGAGAGAGAAGAGGACAACAAACGAGGGGCTGTGACAAACTGTTTCGTCGGAGTTTCACCGACTCATCAGCAGTATGTCCCATCTGTGACTGCGGGCGTCTATAGCGAATGTGCACTTAACTGTGATGGTGAACGCCCCACAATCGCCATGGCCTGCAACCGGCATGCCCTCTGCCGTGCATGCTTCAGAGGTATGGTTGATGCTAGCCGCCCTGGCTCCTGCTGTGACGAAGTTGCTTACCTGAATGGTTTTCGTCCTGTATATGGTACTCATTTGTGTTTGACTCTTGGATTGAGATCTACAGACTTGAGAAAAACTAGTTTCTTCTCTTTTACCACATTGCCTATTTTGTTGCCTTCAACTCAAAACTTGCGGTGCACCATTGCCGTGAGCTGTGGGCCATGTGGCGCGTGGTGCACCATGCGCAAATAGGTGATGCACGCACACCATGCAGACCGCCCGTAAGACGCGCACGGGCGCAGGCATCACCCATTTGCATGCACACTTTCTCCTTGTTTTTTTATTGTTTTTGTGTGAGAGAGAGAGAGAGGTGAAGGGAGGGCGGGGGCTCACCTATGTAGCACAGCGGGTCACCTTTGTAGCAGGCGGGCGGTCAATACAGTTCGCCACGCACCCTGCGGTAAACACCCTTCGTCGAAGTTCGCAATTTCAACGAGGGGCCGTTAGATTCCTCGCATGTATATAAGATATGTTCCCAACTAAGTACAGTCATGATGAGGGTGCGTGATCCTCGTGCTGTACAGTACCATTACTTTTTTTTCCCCTTTTTTTTCTTTCTTTTGAATATTTTCTTGTACATTAGGGCTCCCCATTTGCTGACACAACCGCCAGTTTCCGAGACCAGAGAGCACCCTGGTCATCACTGTATCTGGCCAGGAAACTAGCCTGTCTACATTTGAGAAGATGAAGACAAGGGTTGTTGTGTCCTTGTTTCAGGCCCAATACAGTCGTGATAAGGGTGCGTGATGTTTTTTTTTTTTTTTCCCTTTTCGTTTTACTCTGTACACAACGGCCCCGTTCGAGTGCAGACAGAATAATCATCATGACTGTATCCAGCCTGAAAACTGGCTTGTATATGTTGGAGAACACTGCGACTCCCTGTGGTGTACTTCTTTTATTTGTTTTTTGTTTTTTCTCAATACACAATCACCCCATCTGAGTGTAGAGAGGACCCTCCGCATGACTTATATCTTCTGTGAAAACTGGCTTGTATACGTTCAAGAACACTGCCGCCCCCTGTGGTGTACTTTTTTCTGTCTTTTTTGTTTTCCCTCTGTACACAACGTCTCCGCTCGAATGCAGAGAGCACCCTCGTCACGACTGTATTGGGCCTGAAAACTGGATTGTATACGTTTGAGAACACTGGTGCCCCCTCAGCAAGAGCTCGTGAACTTTCATAAGGGAGCTTTGTCTGCTTGAATGTATGCAAGGGATGTTTCAGGCCAGATACAGTCACCATGAGGATTCTGGGTGCTGACGAAGCTTATTTGTTTTTTCCTTTTTCTTTTGTATTTCAGACTCTTTCTGAAAACCGACACGGCAAGACCTGATTCAATGACACAACCGCTACTTCCCGCCAATGGAAAGCACACTCATAAGACGGCTGTTGTTGCAGAAAACTTTTTGCGCCCCCCCCCGCGCCTCCCCCCCCCCTAAAAAAAAAACAAAAAACAAAAACTTTTTGAGTGTGGTTGGTGCAATTTCTTTCCGGGCCGGTGTGCAGGCCCCAAAACTATTTTACCAGCGGCCCAGCGCCTGTTTAGATTTTCACTGGTGCAGGGCTGAGGGATAGTACCATCCCCCACCACTTTTTCTTGGGGGGGGGGGGAAGAGACCCGGATTTCTGGCCGCGCATGCGGGCGCATGCTGTGCGCACGCCGCATGCGCAATGCGCAAATGCGCCACGTGTGTGCGACCGGCGTGCACGCAATGCACCGCAAGCATGCTTTAATTTTTTTTCGTACTTGGCGAGACAGTCGACTCACCCACCAGAGGGTAGGAAACATACAGAGAAGACGCCTCCTGGCTCAATCATATGCACAAATGATGGAAGGCAGAAGAGGAAGGGGAAAAGGAACTGAGGAGGAAGAGGAAGAGGAAGAGATCAAGATAATGGGAATGCCAACAAAATAATCTCCGTCCTCTGGACCAATCAGCTCCTCCTACAAATTGCCTCCAATAATGAAATGCCTCTGAACTCTGACCTGCAGAGCAGCATTCTCCAAAAAGTACCACATCAAAAGATTCAAAACCAGACATTTTAGACTATGTCTGACGCTCCCAGAAGACGACGCAGGACAGGAGATAACAAAAAGAAGACCTCTCTCTCTCTCTCTCTCTCTCTCTCTCTCTCTCTCTCTCTCTCTCTCTCTCTCTCTCTCTCTCTGTGTGTGTGTGTGTGTGTGTGTGTGT